ATATTCTATACTTGTGGACGTACCCGTGACAAGGTGGCGACACCAGATCAGCCACCATACCCTATACTGGTGGATGTAACCGTGACAAGATGACGCCACCAGATCAACCACCATACTCTATACTAGTGGACGTACCCGTGACAATGTGACACCACCAGCCATTTTTGCAAAGGAATGTTCAAATGTCTGATCATTAGGAGCAACAGAGAAAAATTAACAACTTTCAAAGAGCAATTGACAGCCAAACAATGGTGGGGGCCAAGATCACTCTGTGACCTCTTGTTTTAGCAAACCACCAATCTGTTTTCTGTAGAACCTCATCACTTATACAAGAGGCACTCAGATATGATGCATACAATTCTTTACCAAACAAACAGTTGAAAAGACAGAGGTAGGACACTTCAGAGTCCATTTCATAACTTCACGGAGTCGGAGATAACCATGTTATTTTTTAATGATGTTTTGGTTATATAAGTACCTATAGGATTCCAGAAGTATTTACTTAATTCAACAGATCATGCTGTTTATGTATTTAGGTCATACAGGTCAGTACTTGCATTATACTATGAAGATTTTTAGAAGTTTCAGAAGACTTTGCGCTGCTGTTTCATTACAGTACAGCATCTCTTGCTTTGGCAGCTTCAGTTTCATATAAACATGTGACCCTTTTACAGTGCACTTAGGGATCTTGTCAAATACTGACATACACGTGTCAGAAGGTTTCCTATTTTACATTTTGGTGTATCTTTTTACTTTTGACATCTTGGTGCAGATTTTGCCAAACAGAACACATACTTCTGACCTACTGTATAGACTGCAAAAATGCATTCAAACAAATAAACAGATTTTGATAGATAAATTGCAGAAAATGAATTTACTGGAAATTTAATCTGGGGTGAACCACAAATTGTCCCGTTCTTTAGAATTAGTACCTCTTTAGATTATGATTGTCTACCTTTTAAAGTTAGATGGGCAATACACAATATATTGCCATATATGTGTTGGCCGGCGCGCCAACCTTTCCATCCCTTCGGGACTGCAGTTCTCCAAGAAAATGCGCCGGCCTATGGCGGAAGCCAAGTACGCTTTGAGGAGACTCCACGACGGCATTGAGCTATTTCCATGATAGCGAGAGTCAGACCTCCATTAGCACGTCTTATGGACGTGTGCGGTCAATTTTCTTAGTTGAGATCGAGCATTATTGGAGAGTGCCCTGAGCGGTCTCTGTAAATAGAAGGCGGTCTGGTGTTCTGGATCTTTATCATGGGGGAAAAGACACTGGACAGCTGATCGGCCCGACAAATCCCTTAGACCGGAAGCTAGAGGAGGCGGTCACACTTCTAGCTTAAAACGAGTTTAGACCGTCGTGAGACAGGTTAGTTTTACCCTACTAATGACACGTCGTTGCAATGGTAATCCTGCTCAGTACGAGAGGAACCGCAGGTTCAGACATATGGTTTATGTGCTTGGCTGATAAACCAATGGTGCGAAGCTACCATCTGAGGGATAATGACTGAACGCCTCTAAGTCAGAACCTCGCCCAAATCTGTAACGATACTATATGCACCATGGCGTTGGGAGGCAACGATAAGCGCGGGCGGACCGATTCATTGTCCGCGATGATAAAAGTAAACGGTCATTGGCACGTCTAGAATTAAACGTGCTGACCGAAATGATATCGATCCCATCACTGAAGACGTGTAAAATCATTCGTAGACGACCTAGTTCTCGGTCGGGGTATCGTACTTAGTGGAGCAGCCACCTCACTGCGATCTCTTGAAATTAATCCTTATGACTACAGATTTGTCCGCTTCAGGACGTGTATACGAGGAAAGACTCTCTCTCTACTAACGTATTATATCCCGCTGTATGTTTCTCGTTTTATTTTGTTATTATTATTTTACAAAGTACTGATGTCGTTGGTTAGTTTCAATTCCTCTATTTACACCCCTGTGTGTCCAGCCCTCTCAAGATTCTGACATTGTTGTCAGCTTCTGTCTGCGAGGCCTCTCACTACCAACGTACGGTTGTCTACCGACGTTTCTTTTTTTCACAAAGTACGAAGTAAATTCCTCTGTTCACAACCCTTTGTATCCTGCCCACTCATGTGTCTCACATTGGTATTTCAGGACCGTTCCGCCAGTCTCTATGACTGAAACGAGCTGAAAAAGAATAACCAAAGATATGTTTTCCTTACTTGTTCATTACTTTTTCTATCCTTAAATCCGCAATACTTCCTACTACAAGCACTTCTATAAAAGATTTCTGAGCTATATCGTTTTTTGTATATGTGACAATACTGAATGTGTGCGAATTCGGTGAGTTTACATGAAGAAATATTATTTGTTTTAAGGTGACAAAAATGAAAAAATTGTCGCTGGTCAGTATCTTTTAAAAAAAAATTATTGAATCTTAAACTAACCAACGACATTTTAAATTTTTTCCATTTTACCTATAAAATTTCTTATCATTACCACACATTTTCTAGCTTTTTGCAGTAACAACACACCGTACTACAATGTTAAATCGATTTCAGCGGCAAAAAAAAAATACCCATGTTTTCCAAAACGTTTGTCCCGAGCTTAAAATGTCGGGACTATCAATGTAGGAATGATGGTGCTGACGGCCACCATTTCGGACAAAAAATGTTTTGCCCAAAGTGGTTAGGGGGAAGTTCTGAGAACAATTTTTGGCGGTTCTTGTTATTTTTGAACAATTCATTTCGACATTAATAAGAATTATCTTCGTTGTTTTAAGTTTGTAATATCATATGTGACCACGCTGCCACTAAAAGAAAAGAAGCTTTATTCCCTGGTAGCACCACTGACACACTTCCAAAATGGCGGATAATGGGACAACACGATTGAATATATATTCAACACAAAATCATTTGCAAAGTTATTTTAAACACTAGGTAACAGCAACACACACTGATCATGGTGCGACTCCTTGCGAAATGAGAGCGGCTGAATGAAAATACACTAAATACGCAGGTTTGGGTAGGCACGGATACCTGTCATATATAAATTTTATCTATTTTAGAGCAATTGCGAAACAAGCTTAGTTTATATTAATCACTCTAGTTGGTGCGGTGATAGCGCGCGATTGGTCTTGCTCTAGAAGGAAACCGGAGTACCCAGGGAAAACCAACGTGGTCGGGCAGATGACCTCATACCTTTTTCACGTCCGTTCCGGGCAGCGAACCCCGGACGGCTTGAAGGAAGGCGAGTGTGTTACCACTACGCCACCCGACCATCTAATTAGCCCATGATAGGCAAGCTTTACTCTGATTATAGTTCTTACACGATTATAATTTTAGGTCTCTTCTTTGTATATATGTGGATATAGGTAAACTTTACCACTTCTCACGTGCGATGATGCTTGACGAGCAAACATGAACTTTTACTTATTGATAGTTATGTACAATAGTGAAGTGTTGGACTCCATTTCCATAATTTCTGCGCTCACGTGTTGTAAGCTCAGGAGACATGGGATATAAACAATCACATTTTCCAGTCGAGCATTATTCTTTATTTTTCAAAGTCGCACGAGGTAACATATAGACTTACTGTTACCAGTGGAGGTACTGGCAGGAATGGCGGGTTCATGTAATGGGCACAAAAAGTTAGGGATCACTTTTTAATGATAAAGTTATTTGTATCAAAAGGTAAAAAATTTGAAATATAAAACACAAATAATAAGAACAGTGTTGACCCACTTTGAATCAATTTCATCCAAGCGTGGCGTGTATAATTACATAAAGCATATAACCCTCTAAAACGAGGTAAAGTCCAAATGGCGCTGAAAATTCTAAATACTTCAGTCGGTTCAGGAACACTATCAAGAGTGAGTTTGTCCTCCATTGGCCCCAATAACGACCCGACATCGGCGTGGCATGCTGCAAATCAGGCCCAATAACGACCCGACATCGGCTTGGCATGCTGCAAATCAGGTGCCGTATAGCCATTTGTCGAATTCGCGTCCATTCTTGACGAAGAACATCTGAAAGCTCTTGTCGGTTGACAGGAAGCCGTGGATAATGGGTAATGCGTTGCTGTCATATGTCTTGCGCATGCTCGACCGGGTTAAAGTCAAGGGAATGGTTTCTATTTAAGGCTGCCCATTCATGTTGTTCTTCCGGTTGCTTAAGTCGTTATTCAACCTAATGGAACGTGCAACCTGATTTCGTCTAGGGAAAGTGCTTAAATAACGATCCTAACAGGCTGTCGTACACACCGTCTATTTGGGTGTGATTATCCTTCTTGCAGCATCCCAACTGCTGGGCCAGCCTCAGCAGCTGTCGCGTGACTCTCATGGCAGTATATGTTCAATACAGGATGCAAAATGACAAAAAAGTTCAGAATAAACACAAAAATTAGTTGATTGATAAACATTGGTCATGGATATCAAGCTTGATTTATACTAATGACAGAAAATATCACATATATCTATGATCCTTAACTTTTTGTGTTCAGCATATTTGTACCTGAAAATTACATACAGCTATTGTAACGGAAGAAACTCTACCATTACTCATAGTGAGTTTTTTATACATACAAAATCTGGAGACTTGTTTCTCTCTCAAGAACTCCTAATGCTCATAGAATTTGTAAAATAATATGTCTTGACACGGATATTATACCCGACCTTATCTTCACAAAACACAACTATGACGTCTAGTTAATCGTAGGTTTCATTGAAAATATAAGCGTTTCATTACTTTCAACTGAGATCCAATCGGCGCCATTGACCATCACAGCAAGGTCACTGACACTTAATTCATTACTCCGCGGAAATATCAATACGCGTACTTAAAATTAATGAAATATGTTTTTAAATAGTGTCAGCAAATATGAATACTTCGTTGTCACAAGGTTAAAGCACCTAGGTTTGACATTTACATTTAGACATTTTATAATACCTGATCGGGGTCCTGAAGTAAAAGATTGAGTACAGCAAGTGTGACCCCGGTAATATTGGACGCGATCTATTGGGATTATTCACACGTACTCGGGTAGAGAATGAGCTGCAGCAGACCCACAGCTACTGTTCTGAACATATCTCATTATTCCTCGAACTCTCTCTCGAAAACGCCTATTCAAAAGCCAAAACATGACTGGATTGATTGCACTGTGCGCATGCCCAAGCCATAAGGAGAAAAATATAATGTATAAAAGCTGACTTCCTTCTGTCATATCAGAAAACAATGACGCGATGTTGTAGGGAAGCCAGCACACCATAAATACAATCACCAGAATAATGAGCATGCGTGCGGCTCGTTTCCGGGAAAATAAACCCCTTGTGCTACTATCTGATCCTTCACGAGATATTTCATTCGTGCAAAGTGTTCGGCCGACGTTGACATAACAAATGGCAAGGGTACCAGCAGGAATAAGAAACACGACGAACAAGAGGAAGAGACCATAGGCTTCCCTATCGCGGTCCTGGGGCCAGTCTTCAATGCAAAATGTTAACGGCGGTAGAGTTGGCATCTCGACGACTGAAACATCCCGGATGTACAATAAAGGACCCATAAAGATGGCGGAGATCACCCACATACATCCAATAATTAGTAAAGCCTGCGAGGAAGACATGATCCTCCGCGCAGCAACCGGATGTTGTATAGACACGTATCGGTCGACGCTCATAGCCGTCAGGGAAAAGATACTGACTGCAACAGACACACCTGAAAATATACAAGTACATCCTTATAACAGGGTCAGAAAAAAATCTGAAAAAGACACACCTGAAAATATACATCAACATCCTTATAGGAGGGTCAGAAAAAATCTGAAAAAGACTGGAAATGTTCAATTTCAGCCGAATACCACATGTAGTAATATCAATTGTAATACTCCTATGTATATCGTACATCTGTACTAAAGTGACCTGGTCACTGTTAACCGGATAGGCGGTCACTGTAAACCGGATAAGGCATTTAATTTGTATTGTGGTTAAAGATAAATAAAAAAAAAACCCGGAATGTTTTACTATATGGTATGGTGTTGTCGTCACTTTATTGATGGGTTTCTTAGAAAACCGTTATTTAATGACAAAAGAAACACCTAAAAAGTCAAAAGTAATGCAAGGACACAAGCAACAGGGAAAAAGTGAACCGTGATTGATGTGAATGTTGTATATGCTTTCAGCTTTACACAGAATAACTCAAACCTATATTGAAACAGATCAAAAAGAGTTAAAAGGATAACATCGAAATTATGTATATGTACCTGAATATTTGGAAAATGTATCAAATATTCCTTATATCATAAAGATTAAAATTGGCACTTGCTTAGAAATAAAATAATCGAACCAATTGCTTCGATAACAGTAAACTGAGTGAAACATTTATCAAATGACATTGTGGAAAATATGTTTTCCTATAATATGGTCAGATGGTGATGAGTCTTTTTTCGAAGTCTTGACCATCAACACCAGATTGTAGGGTAACTACAACACCAGGTTGTAGGACAACACCAGGTTGTAGGGTATCACCACGTTGTAGGGTAACTACAACACCAGGTTGTAGGACAACACCAGGTTGTAGGGTAATAACTACAACACCAGGTTGTAGGGTAACTACTCCAACACCAGGTTGTAGGGTAACTGCAACACCAGGTTGTAGGGCAACACCAGGTTGTAGGGTAACTGCAACACCAGGTTGTAGGGTAACTACAACACCAGGATGTAACACCAGGTTGTAGGGCAACACCAGGTGGTAGGGTAACTGCAACACCAGGTTGTAGGGTAATTACAACACCAGGTTGTAGGGTAACTGCAACACCAGGTTGTAGGGTAACTGCAACACCACGTTTTAGGGTAACTGCAACACCAGGTTGTAGGGTAACTGCAACACCAGGTTTTAGGGTAACTGCAACACCATTTTGTAGGGTAACTGCAACACCAGGTTGTAGGGTAACTGCAACACCAGGTAATACGGTAACTGCAACACCAGGTTGTAGGGTAACTACAACACCAGGTTGTAGGGCAACACCAGGTTGTAGGGCAACACCAGGTTGTAGGGCAACACCAGGTTGTAGGGTAACTGCAACACCAGGTTGTAGGGTAAGTTCAACACCAGGTTGTAGGGTAAGTTCAACACCAGGTTGTAGGGTAACTACAACACCAGATTGTAGGGTAACAACACCAGGTTGTAGGGTAACACCAGGCTGTAGGGTAACTACAACACCAGGTTGTAGGGCAACACCAGGCTGTAGGGTAACTACAACACCAGGTTGTAGGGCAACACCAGGCTGTAGGGTAACTACAACATCAGGTTGTAGGGCAACACCAGGTTGTAGGGTAACTACAACACCAGGTTGTAGGGCAACACCAGGCTGTAGGGTAACTACAACACCAGGTTGTAGGGCAACACCAGGCTGTAGGGTAACTACAACATCAGGTTGTAGGGCAACACCAGGTTGTAGGGTAACTGTGCCTTTTGTTCGTCACGAGTAGTCCGTTGACTTTTCACATGCTTATCTTTTTCTCAAGAAGTGCTGATCCGATTCAAACCAAACGTGGTCATTGACATTAGTACCCATTCTACGGGGTTTAGAGCACGTGAAAAATACAGTAAGGACATGTCATCATTCTAAATATCTCTTTCTTCATTAAGTACTTAAAATGGTTGTAATGTCATGAAGTTGCTCGATCAAAATAGCCAAATTTGAGGAGGATTTGTGGTCTGTTGATGTACCATGTAGTCTCCAGGGACGGAGGGTTTGTGGTCTGTTGATGTACCATGTAGTCTCCAGGGATGGAGGATTTGTGGTCTGTTGATGTACCATGTAGTCTCCAGGGACGGAGGGTTTGTGGTCTGTTGATGTACCATTTAGTCTCCAGGGATGTGGTCTGTTGATGTACCATGTAGTCTCCAGAGATGGAGGATTTGTGGTCTGTTGATGTACCGTTTAGTCTCCAGGGATGTGGTCTGTTGATGTACCATTTAGTCTCCAGGGATGGAGGATTTGTGGTATGTTGATGTACCATTTAGTCTCCAGGGATGGAGGATTTGTGGTCTGTTGATGTACCATTTAGTCTCCAGGGATGTGGTCTGTTGATGTACCATTTAGTCTCCAGGGATGGAGGATTTGTGGTCTGTTGATGTACCATTTAGTCTCCAGGGATGGAGGACTTGTGGTCTGTTGATGTACCATTTAGTCTCCAGGGATGGAGGATTTGTGGTCTGTTGATGTACCATTTAGTCTCCAGGGATGTGGTCTGTTGATGTACCATGTAGTCTCCAGAGATGGAGGATTTGTGGTCTGTTGATGTACCGTTTAGTCTCCAGGGATGTTGTCTTTTGATGTACCATTTAGTATCCAAGGATGGAGGATTTGTGGTCTGTTGAAGTACCATTTAGTCTCCAGGGATGGAGGATTTGTGGTCTGTTGAAGTACCATTTAGTCTCCAGGGATGGACGATTTGTGGTATGTTGATATACCATGTAGTCTCCAGTGATGGAGGGTTTTGTTGCCAAACAGTAACCATTAATCAGGTTTAGCTATTATTATCATCTAACTGACCCATACATTACTTGCCGTGGACGATAGCAATGTCAATTCAGTATCAAAGATTTCCTGCCTATCATCCTGTCCTACAAGGGATCCAAGATGTTTATACAGTTTCTAACAATACCCCATTTTCTTTTTGGATTGTGGATAGATGTACATCTACATATACATTTCTGTACATGCTTTTACGAGGAAAACATGAAATGATTATGCAGAATGATTTTTTTCAAAAGCGGAACAAAGCCTTGTTATCCATGACCGATGATCTCTCTTTCCTCAGTACCGACAGTGTGTAGATGAAGTGTACAAGATGCACGAGTTTTCATTAATATGTAACACATCAACTGTTGTTTATACTTCCAAGACTAACATGCCAAACAAAAACAACATGATATCCGGATTAGCGGAGATTGTAATTTTATAAATAAATGTACCAAATATCATAGTATGTGTGAATAGTAAGAAAGTATAGTTCCAAATTTTCTCGCTAGGTGTCGTCATGTCTCAAATAACATTGATATATAAGAGGTAACAACATAAGATACAAACGAGTCGTTTGTGTAAGAAAAATCGGAACATACCAAGAGGCCATTCTCACAACTGAGATCGGCTTGACCAGTTCCATATATGATATCTGAGAAACATTTGAAGACGAATAATAAAGATGTCAAGTGCACGTTTTTGCTATAATGGGTCTGAGAGTGGTTCATCTATACCTCCTGGACACTTTCAAACGATGAAAGAAAAAGCTCGAGCCTTACTTCAACAGTTGTAACTGACTTTGGTTACCAAATATACCGATATTGGTCGCTAAACAAGAGAGTAAGATATCAGGGGAGATAACATAACACCGAACAAGGGAGCTAACAAACTTCATTCGCCAACAAGACGCGATTATCCAAGATAAACTTTTTTAAGTTCGAAAATTTCTTAATAAAAACAAAATTAAAACGTATGTACAAATTAAAAACGTGAGGTCGACGCCCAGTAGTTTTTAACGATATGATATACATTCTCTGATGGGTATTTCTTTAAGAGCTTCCTTTTTTCCATAGCCATATCCAAAACTGTAGAAGGCTTCGGATGTACGTAACCTTGTCTGAGAATAGTCAGTTTCATGCATTAGAGAAATAGAGCTCTCACTACGAAGAATCCTTAGGAATGATCTTCCACCCGCCATGATCTTTAAAGTTTTTCGATCAACACGACCAGGCTTGTACAAAAGAGAAAAAAACTATATCGTGTACCTGGTCAATAAGGTTTGGTGTAAAATACTACCAAGCTACTGTAAGAACTGGTCGATAATATATCATACAATATGTTCAACGAAAGCTAGCTGTCAAATCAGTGAATATACACCATTAACAGAAAACCCATTACAGCCTCACACATTAAGTTTAGACTGGGATGTCACACGCAATCAGGCTCGTAAAATCATCAGACAAAGATATCCAACATGCAATAGTAGTCCATTTGTGTGGGAGATTTCACCAAAATCAATAGAATGACTTATCTCTTGAATTAAAGAAATGAACGTTCGATCCTTTATAGACAACGTAAGAATTGTCCATTAACCATCAACATGATTATCCTTGACCCTGATTAAACGATAAGGTATCTGTCATCATGGTGTGTTACCCGTCAACACAAGGTATCTGTTATCATGGTGTGTTATTCATCAACACAAGGTATCTGTCATCATGATGTGTTACCAGTCAACACAAGGAATCTGCAATCATGGTGTGTTACCCGTCAACACAAAGTATCTGTCATCATGATGTATTATCCGTCAATACAAGGTATCAATCATCATGGTGTGTTACCAGTCAACACAAGGTTAATATCATCATGATGTGTTACCCGTCAACACAAGATATATGTCGTCATGGTGTGTTACCCGTCAACAGAAGGTATCTGTCATCATGTTGTAATACCCGTCAACACAAAGTATCTGTCATCATGATGTGTTACCCGTCAACACAAGGAATCTCCAATCATCCTGTGTTATCAGTCAACACAAAGTATCTGTCATCATGGTGAGTAACCCGTCAACACAAGGTTAATATCATCATAATGTGTTACCCGTTAACACAAGCAATCTGCAATCATGCTGATTTACCCGTCAACACAAGGTATCTGTCATCATGGTGTTTTACCCGTTAACACAAGG